GATGAAAGCAGTTCTCAGAGGGAAATTCATAGCTGTGAACTCACACATTAGGAAAACAGAACGGGAACAAATAAATACCCTAATGCTGCACCTTCAACAACTGGAAGAGGAAGAGAAAACCAAATCCAGAGCCCAAAGATGGGAAGAAATCATGAAGATAAGCGCTGAAATTAACTCAATTGAGATGAAGAAAATAATTCAAAGAATTAAAAAAGCAAAACGCTGGTTCTTTGAAAGATGAAATAAAATTGATAAGCCCCTAGCTAACCTCATGAAACAGAGAAAAGAAAAAATTCAAATGCAAGCAATAAGGAATGAAAAGGATGTAATTACCAAAGACCCAGTAGAAATTCAGAAGATTATCAATAGCTACTTTGAAAATTTTTACTCTCACATAATAGAAGACAGAGAAGAAATGGACAGATTCTTACAAAGGTACAAATTACCACAACTGAATCAACAGGATATAACCACTCTCAATAGCCCAGTAACAGCCAATGAAATACGAGATATAATTAAATACTTACCGACAAAGAAAAGTCCAGGTCTGGATGGATTCATAGATGAATTCTACAAGAAAATTACAGAAGATGTAGTCCCTATACTCCTCAAACTCTTAAATGAAATTAAAAAGGAAGCAATCCTCCCAAAATCATTCCTGGAGGCAAGTATTATACTGATATCAAAACGAGGGAAAGATGCAACTAAGAAAGAGAACTACAGGCCGATCTCCCTCATGAACATAAATGCCAAAATCCTCAATAAAATCCTAGCAGATAGAATACAGCAAATCATCAAGAAGATCTTACACCAGGACGAGGTAGGATTCATCCTAGGGATGCAAAGATGGTTCAATATTCAAAATTTATAAATATAGTACACTATATCAATAGAGCGAAAACTAAAAACTATATGATCATCTCCATTGATGTAGAAAAGGCATTTGACAGAGTCCAACACTCATTCATATTCAAACTCCTACAAAAAAATTGGAATAGATGGCCTCTACTTCAATTTGGTAAAAGCCATTTATGGAAACCCAATGGCTAACATAATCCTAAATGGGGAAAAACTGAAATC